GCTAAGTTTTCGTAGCCTATTGCTGACAAAGACTGTCGCTACAGATGCTCTCATATTGTTGACTTGGTGGAAAAACACAAAGAGCATGCACTGTTCCCCCTGTAGGACCCCCAAGTAGTGACCGGCAAGTAATGACTAGCTGGTAAAACTTAGCAACAGGGTTGGAACAAGACATTTTGTTTCAACAGGGTATACAGTAGGATCCCTGTATATTTGAGAGGTACGTATGAAGCCAACCCCTCCACCCCATGGATATCTGAAACCACAGACTCTATTAATAAATGTATACAAGTAGCAGTATTGGTGAACACTATGCATACATGTATGCAATTTTATACATTAAACTTTTTCACTGTGTACAGTACAGTACTACACATGTAGTTTAATTAATCAGTTTGGCTCAATAGGAAAAGCAATACCAAAAGAGTTTACATGATTGCATGAGAATTCATCACATGTGGTGATTACAGTTCATGTAGTCCCAGAATGGCACACCACGGCGGTTAAATGAAAACGCAGTAAGTGAAACAGCGGATACGGAGGTATACTGTTTAGGGATTTAGCAGTTATTAACCACTTTACACCAGGCCAGAGTCTAGTGTTGGGCTTTTTTGGGTTCACAGACAGTAAGTAGTGGTTAGTGACTGTCTTGCAGTAGCATCCACCTGTAACTCCCTGCCGCTACTTGTCAAATTCTGCAGTTGAGAAACAGACACTACTTGCTACAGTACTTTCAATCATAGCAGCAAGTAATGGCTGGTAGTGGTCTCTAAAAAATAGCAATAAGATTGTTAGCAAGACCAAAAAACATCTAAAATTGTGGGACTTTTAGTTTGCATCATGTTTTAGCCCTCATTGACATTCTGCTAGGTAGAAACCATCACATAAATTATAAATGACACGTGCCCATGAAAAAAGCCAAACCGTGGAGGCCGCTCTGTTGTTCTACATATCCAGAGTGAGCAAAGTTTGGGCGGTTCTCATGTAAAAGTCATGGACATTGTGAGCAAAAACCTCTTAATTTGCTCGTATTTGCCAAATAATGCAGTTCTCATGCAAAAGTTATGGACATTGTGAGCAAAAACCTCAAAGTAAAAAAACAAACCTTTGTGGACTTGCAATTGTATCTAAGTAACAAATTATGTGTGTCATAAAGGTCACGATAAAGCATGAATAAAAACATTTTGTAAGTTCCTGTATCCACCTAGCTGTGTGGTAGAAACAATTCACATACAACCACATATGGGTTAGTAAGGTTTTAAGTTGGACTGATGAGTTTATCAGTTGTATTTCTGCTACAATATCAGCCTCACCGGTTAAATTATTGATAAGGTGGACTCAGTAGTTCATCTTTGGTTTTTAATGGAAGATGAGGGATTGGCTGATATTCCGCCAAATACAAAAAAATCTGCTGCAGAAATGGCATATTCAGAGGTATATTTTATTAAAACTGAAATATATATATATCAAAAAATGAAAATCTGGCACTCTACCTCAACGTGATAATAATCCAAGAGAACCAAGCTGCTGCACAGCGTGAATATATACAAATGAAGAAATGAGAGCACTCAATGGGTTTTGTTCAATCAAAGATTTGTGTTGTGGATAAGGATCAACATTTCGACCCGTAGGTCTTTATCAAGATATACATACAGTTAAATACAGTGCTTAAATAAGGAATAAAATAATCACTTACCAAGTGCAGGTGTTACTACGGTGCTCAGACACCGTGAAGGGTGGTGGGAGAGGTTACGTGAGCGGAAGGATGTGAACGTGATGACGTGACCGCAATTACGTGGTGAGTCTGTGAGGATCGCGTCCCGTTTCTATGGTGACGCTCGGACAGTAAAAGAGGGGGGGGAAAGGACTTAACTTAGCCACAAGCGTTGACTGTGTTATATGGGGCCTTGGGATACGGGAGAGGGAGGGTGAGGGGAATCGCACCTTGATTACAGTGCCAATTGAAGGGATGGAGAAATCATAGAGGGGGGAAGGAGGGAAAAGCAGAGGAGGAGAACGATACGGGAGGCAGAGTCTACTGGGGGAGGGGGAGGGGACTGGAGGAAGAAGGACGAGGGGAGAAGGGGGGGAAAAGGGAGAGAATAAAACATACATTTAAAAAAAAAGGGGATGGAAGACACCTGCAACAGAGAAATTAACGAGAATGTTTAAATATATGCACAGGTGCCACAAAATGCGTATATATTATATCAGACCCAACAAGCTTCTTAGGCAGATATAGCAACACCATGTGCCCCAATGGTAAACTGTCAAAGACCTGTATAGTATGAAACCTAACCACGAGAACTCCCTTACAGGACACAAGGGCACTCCCTATTGCCCGCCGGCACCTGCCCCGGACACAGACCACATACTGGAAATGAATCCAAGTAACGACATGGCATAATCACACTACCGCACGCTACCTGCAGGGGGGCCTGTCTCACCCCCTATCCCTGCGAATGACAGCTAACTGAACGACCATACACCGAAGTAAATACAGGCGACAACGTGGACAGGTGCCCCCATCAGCTCAGAACTAGCGCTCACGCAGTACACACATGTAGCCATTCACCAAGTGGGCAGAGAGACACACCAGTCAACTAGAGATAGACATTCACTACATCTCCGTTTGACCATGGGCCACGACCTGACCTAGATCCGAGTAAACCAAGACTACTGGGGGAGCCACGGCTGAAGCTGTTCCGGGCAAAACCGGGTAGTGGTATGGCCTTGGTAATCCACTCAGTTACACGGGCATTCCCCCCCTACTTAGGGACGGGAACGATCACACACTGATCGAAAAGACGCACACCACACTTACACCGACCCACACAACAGACACACAAAGCATACACCAGCCAACACCAGCGAGAAAGCCACGAAACACACCACTACAAGCTAAACCGAACCCAGCTACCTTTCCCCTGACTGCCGGCACTGCGGTTCGCCAGACGCGCTCGGGTTCCTCCTCGCAGGGGGGTCATGGGAACCCAATACACACAGAACTCGGGTGAATACCCCTCCTGATACGAGATAACGCTAACATGGCGTACTCCCCAGCACCACTGATCATCATGACGCAAAACTGCAGGGGACTGAATGCACCGGAGAAGAGAACGCACCTTCTGCGAGACCTTAAGAGACAGCATGTCTCCATCGCCCTTCTACAGGAAACACACCTAAAGGTGGAGGCCAACCGACTACTTAAGGATAGACACTATCCGGTGAACTACTATAGCAACCACCCCACATCTAGAAAAACAGGAACAGCAATCCTGATTGCGGCACACCTGCAATTCGAAATAATGGAAGTGCTGGGGGACCCGGGAGGCAGGTTCCTATTCGTCAAGGGAATGATTTCCAGGAAAGTATACACAATAGCTAACATATACACTCCGAACACAGGACAAGAAAGCTTCTTGCGCAGAACACTCTCGAGACTGGCCAAGTTCCTGGAAGGGCTACTGGTAGTTGGAGGAGACCTGAATGTCCCTCTGGATCCCCGGCAGACACATCCGCGGGGCAGAGCAGTGTACCAAGCTCAGCACTCAGGACCATCCACAGGTCCCTCAAAGACCTCAGGCTGGTAGATGCATGGAGAGCACTACATCCGGAGGTCCGAGATTATACATACTACTCAACGCTACACCACAGATACTCCTGCATAGACTACATGTTCATACAACAAGAAGGCCTCACATACATAAGAAAGGCAGATATCCAACCCACACCCTGGTCGGACCACTGCGCGACAAGAGTAACTATGACATCACCACTCTACCGTCCAGCTAGAACGTCGTGGAGACTCAACGATTCACTCCTCTTAGACGAACTGCTACGGGCACAAATCGCGAAGCATGTACACCAGTACTTCAAGGAAAACACCACAGAAGGTGTGTCCGATATGACTTTATGGGAAGCACACAAAAGCGTAATGATGGGGCACTTAATACGAATTGCGAGGCAAAAGAAAAAAGAAGCCGGCCAACAGCTACTAGACCTTACCTGACAGATAGCAGAACTGGAACAGACCCACAAAAGAACCCAAAGGAACCAGACATACAGAGATCGAACAACCAAAAGGAGACAACTAATGGACATAATAGAACGCAAGCATACCAGATACCTAAACTGCTCAAAAGCCTATCTTTTATTTACACACCAATAAAGGGGGAAGGCTGCTCATCTGGATGCTGAAGGGCCCACAGAACAGGGCACAGGTACAGACCCTATGTACTCGACAGGGTAAACTGACGCAATTTCCAGAGGAAATTGCAGAGGAACGCAAGTCGTTTTACATGCAGCTCTATAACATCACTAATGAAGGGGAGGGAAGGACTCTTGAGAGGAAACAAGCGGACACAGTCAGATACCTACAAGACTTTAACCCGGAAGCCCTTACACTGACTGAAGCAGAAGCATTAGACGCCCCCATAACCAAGGAGGAAATAAAAATAGCCCTGAAAGAGGCAAAAGCAGGCAAGGCACCAGGCCCAGACGGATTCCCGGTGGAATACTACAAGAAATTCGGTGAGGAACTAATACCACGACTGGCAAAGGCATTGAACGGCCTACGGGAAGGTGCAACCTTCCACAGAGAATCATTGGCTGCGACAATCACAGTAATCCCAAAACCAGGCAAGAACACAGAAGAAGTGGGGAATTACCGACCAATCTCTCTCATCAACACGGATGTTAAAATCCTCTCCAAGATTCTGGCATTCAGACTGCAAACCTATATGCCCAGATTGGTACACTCGGACCAAACGGGGTTCATAACGGGCAGGGAAACTAGGGACAGCACGCTCCGACTTTTTACGATCCAACACCTAGCGAAACACCTGAAGAAAAAGCTACTTCTGCTCTCCACGGATGCAGAAAAAGCATTCGATAGGGTGGACTGGCTCTTTATGACGGAGACATTGAGAACAGTCGGTATAGGGGACAGGATGTTGACCTGGATCACAACATTATACCAGCAGCTGAATGCTAGGGTGAGAATAAATGGAGCACTAACCGACAGTTTCGACATCCAAAATGGCACCAGGCAAGGCTGTCCGCTATCGCCGCTCTTATGTGCACTCACCTTGGAACCATTCCTAGACTGGGATTCGAAAAACATAAAGTAGCAGCATATGCTGGTGATATGTTGTTTTTTCTCGATAACCCGCTCGAAACCATACCACGGCTAATGGAAGAATTTCAAAGATATGGAAACGTATCTGGACTAAAGCTAAACTTATCAAAATACGATGTTCTGAACATCACGGTACCAGAGATGGAATACGAGCGACTGAAACAAAGGTTCCCCTTCCAGTGGTGTACGGAACAAATGAAATACCTAGGGATATGGATTACACCCGAGGCGAAAGATCTATACACGCATAACTAAGTACCTCTCCTTCCCAACTTCTTGGGAGATCTCAAGAAATGGAACTACAACCACATTTTGTGGCAGGGATGCATAGCAGCTGTAGAGATGAATGTTCTGCCCAGGATACTGTATCTGTTCCACACCATACCTCGGATACTTCCACAAGCTTTCTTTATACTGCTCAGGTCAGCGATCCTTCGGTACATATTGAAGGGAGAGAGAACCAGGATTAGTCACGAAAAACTATGCCTACCAAGAACATGGGGTGGACTTGCCCTACCGTACTTCGGCAAATACTATCAAGAGACGATCCTGCAATGTCTCAGGGAAATACACACGGACGCACCCCACAAATGGTGGGTCTCCCTGAACAGAGCTATCACAGACAACCGCCTACACTCATTTATTTGGCACAAGGAATCGGAGGCCACAAAGGACCTTGGGGAAGACTCCCCCATTGAACAGACACTCAACACATGGAATGGGTTGAGAAAGGCACCGTACATCTCTCCGAAGTCAAGCCCATTGATCCCCATCACCCACAACACAGACCTAGGAGACGGACTCCCCTCATCCGCATGGCCAATGACAAATCAGGACGGATGGCCAATGACAAATCAGGACGGTGATGACGGAATCGGGCATAAAGACACTGAGGGACCTAACAGACGGAGAGACATCCACATTAATGCAGCAATTCCACTACGCCCAGTTGAAACATTACTACCATAACCTTCCACACAGGACCAAACTGCACAGGGACCTCACCTGGTACGAAACGCTTTGCTTCCACACACCGGAGGTGGAGGGCACGGTTTCAGTTATCTACCAACGTCTGATCACCGGAGAATGGGACAAGAAGGACATGTACAAAAGGCAATGGGAAAAACTTACTGAACAGACCTTCACGGATGCCCAATGGGAGAAAGTACTAGTGCTACAGCACAAAAGCTCCTCCAGCTCTCACTACCAGGAGGTATTTTTTGTCAGTAAAAGCAAAAAATTCAAGAAACCACTGTGGTACTCCGCAGATGTGTCCAAAATAGTTAAAAACAAAAAGTTAGCATTTAGGAATTATAAAAAAAACCAGAGTGAGGAAGACAAAATGATCTATAAGATTAGGCAGAAAGAGGCTAAGCAAGTTATAAGAGCTTCCAAATCACACACAGAAGAGAAAATAGCACAGTCAGTAAAAAAGGGGGACAAAGCATTTTTTAGATACATAAATGAGAAAAGAAAAGTAAAACAAGGATTAGTTAGATTAAAAACAAAAGAAGGAAGGTATGTAGAAGAGGATAAAGGTCTATCTGACTGCCTCAATTAATATTTTTGTTCTGTATTTACAGATGAAAATGAAGGAAAGGGACCTCAGTTGAGAAAAAGGATAAATGAGTCATTTATTACACGTGAGTTTACAGAGGAAGAGGTTCTATTTCAACTGTCAAAGTAAAGACAAATAAGTCAATGGGACCTGATGGAATACACCCAAAGCTATTAAAAGAGCTTAGTGGTGTACTAGCAAAACCATTAACAGATTTATTTAACCAATCATTATTAACAGGAGTAGTCCCAGAAGATTGGAAGTTAGCGAATGTTGTGCCCATTTACAAAGAAAGGTAATAGGGAGGAGTCGGGCAACTATAGGCCAGTAAGCCTTACTTCAGTAGTGGGGAAAGTGATGGAAACCATGTTAAAGGATAGGATTGATGAACATCTAAAAACACATGGATTTCAAGATCAGAGACAACATGGGTTTACTTCAGGGAGATCATGCCAAACTAATCTTATTGATTTTTTTGATTGGGTAACTAAAATTATAGATCAGGATGGTGCAGTAGACATTGCTTACCTAGATTTCAGTAAGGCTTTTGACACTGTTGCACATAGAAGGCTTATCAATAAACTACAATCTTTAAGTTTGGATTCCAATATTGTTGAATGGGTAAGGCAGTGGCTGAGTGACAGGCAACAGAGGGTTGTAGTCAATGGAATATATTCGAAGCTTGGACTTGTCACCAGTGGGGTACCTCATGGATCTGTACTTGGACCCATTCTCTTTAATATTTTTATTAGTGATATTGCAGAAGGTCTTGATAGTAAGGTATGTCTTTTTACTGATGATACTAAGATATGTAACAGGGTTGATGTTCCAGGAGGGATAAGCCAAATGACAAATGATTTAGGTAAACTAGAAAAATGGTCAGAATTGTGGCAACTGACATTTTAATGTGGATAAGTGCAAGATAATGCATCTTGGACGTAAAAACCCAAGGGCAGAGTACAGAATATTTGATAGAGTCCTAACCTCAACAACTGAGGAAAGGGATTTAGGGGTGATTATTTCTGATGACTTAAAGGTAGGCAGACAATGTAATAGAGCAGCAGGAAATACTAGCAGAATGCTTGGTTGTATAGGGAGAGGTATTAGCAGTAGAAAGAGGGAAGTGCTCATGCCATTGTACAGAACACTGGTGAGACCTCACTTGAAGTATTGTACACAGTACTGGAGACCATATCTCCAGAAGGATATTGATACCTTAGAGAGGGTTCAGAGAAGGGCTACTAAACTGGTTCATGGATTGCGGGATAAAACTTACCAGGAAAGGTTAAAGGATCTTAACATGTATAGCTTGGAGGAAAGACGAGACAGGGGGGATATGATAGAAACATTTAAATATAAAAAGGGAATCAACACAGTAAAGGAGGAGACTATATTTAAAAGAAGAAAAACTACCACAACAAGAGGACAGTCTTAAATTAGAGGGACAAAAGGTTTAAAAATAATATCAGGAAGTATTACTTTACTGAGAGGGTAGTGGATGCATGGAATAGCCTTCCAGCTGAAGTGGTAGAGGTTAACACAGTAAAAGGAGTTTAAGCATGCGTGGGATAGGCATAAGGCTATCCTAACTATAAGATAAGGCTAGGGACTAATGAAAGTATTTAGAAAATTGGGCAGACTAGATGGGCCGAATGGTTCTTATCTGCCGTCACATTCTATGTTTCTATGTGAACTACAAATTGCTCTCCCAATGGCACCGCACGCCATTCCTGCTCCACTGGATTAACACGGCGATACCGGATACCTGCTGGAGATGTGAAGACAGCCGAGGAACTGTCAGACACATATGGTGGGACTGCAGAAACATTAAACCATACTGGGAAGGCATAGAGAGGGAAATAAGGACCAAACTGCACAGGGACCTAACCTGGTACGAAACGCTTTGCTTCCACACACTGGAGGCGGAGGGCACGGTTTCCATTATCTACCAACGTCTGGGTAAAAAGAAAAATTTAAAAAGTAAAAAAATATGTTTGTACTACATAAATATTGTATTCATAGAATTCTGCTATTAGCCAAAAATAAGTATAATCTGTCAGGTGAACAGTAGGCAAGAGAAAGCAGGTCAAATACCAAAATGTTATATAATAATAAAAAAAAAAGATATCATGTTGTTGACCTGAACAGATATCAATAAAAAGAAGAAAAAATAAAAAAATCTAACCAAAATCAGATGGAAAAAAATGCAAAAAAAGAAAAACAAACAAAAAGGGGAAAAAATTTTTTGTATATCTTAAAGGAGGTAATATCCATCTCTGAGTTGACTTTAATTATAGATATGTCTGTAGAAAAA